GCAGCGAGAAACCACCCATTGCCCCCAAAAGAGCAACGGGATTGTACCTGACACCCACCCGCCAAAGGGACTCGTAGGTCCCAGCCACCCGGCGTGTCCAGCGCCAGTTTGCATACTGGAAAGCAGAAAGGACTGGGAAAAAACTGGGTGAGCAGGAGGTGTCGCAGGGCTGTAACGCCCGTGTGCAATACACACACCCACGGCCTGCACCCACTAGAGGTCAGTGCGGACCAGGCTGGTGCCGGAGCGGCACAGGCGTGGTGTGACACGGTGCGGCGTGGTGTGACACGGTGCAACACGGCGTGGTGTGACACGGTGCAGCGTGGTGTGACACGGTGCAACACAGTGCAGCATGGCATGACACGGTGCAGCACGGTATGACACGGTGTAGCACGGTGTGACACGGTGCAGCATGGCGTGACACGGTACAACACGGCATGGCGTGACACAGTGCAGCACGGTGTAGCACGTTGTGACACGGTGCAGCACGGTGTGACATGGTGCAGCATGGTGTGACACAGTGCAACACGGCATGGCGTGACACGATGCAGCACGGTGCAGCACGGTATGACACGGTGCAGCACAGTGTGACACGGTGCAGCATGGTGTGACACGGTGCAGCACGGCGTGGCGAGACACGGCGCGACACGGTGCAGCACGGTGTGACACGGTGCATCATGGTGTGACACGGTGCAACATGGCGTGGCGTGACACAGTGCAGTGTGGTGTGGCACGGTGCAACATGGCGTGGCGTGACACGGCGCAGCACGGTGTGGCACAGTGCAGCGTGGTGTGACACGGTGCAGCATGGTGTGGCACAGTGTTGCAGTGTGGTGTGACATGGTGCAACACAGCGTGGCGCGACACGGTGCAGCACAGTGCAGCATGGTGTGGCACGGTGCAGCACGGCATGGTGTGACACAGTGCAGCATGCTGTGACACGGTGCAGCACGGCATGGTGTGACACGGTGCAGCATGGTGCGGCATAGCGTGACACGGTGAAGCACGGCATGGTGTGACGTGGTGCAGCACGGCGTGGCACAGAGCAGCGTGGTGTGACACGGAGCGCGGTGCGGCGCAGCACAGTGCAGCGCGGTGCAGAACAGTAGCACCGTGCTACGCTGTGCGGCACCGGGCTGTATGGCGCGGTGGCAGCCGGGGAGCAGCGTGGGAGCAGGAGGGTGCAGAAGCCGCCCTGTGACACAGTTGCCCAACCGAGGCAGCAGCAGGACAGAGAAACCTGCGGCACCTTGCCAGTGCCGGGAGGCTGGTGCCTCTCCCGGAGCAGACGGAA